ACAATAATCCCAGCGATGTACTGTATTAAAACTCAACAGTAACAGATGCAAGATGACAAAGCTATAAAATCAGTTCTGATAGTAAATACCACCTCAGGTGACACTTGAAAATAAAAGGCAAATCAACTGACCTGAGAATGTAAATTGGCCACTGTAAATAGTTTTAAAGTTCGTGTTTTGCATGTTAGCCCTTTGTCAAAGCAAATGAATGAATGAATAACAACAAGGAGGGCTAACGCTCAAAACATCAGCTTTGAAACTCTTTACAGTGGCCAATTTATGTTATCAACTCAGTTGATAATACTAAATTACCCTGTTATACTCTCCCACTGATGCAACACCACAGTTTCTTTAGAAACTTTCCCCCTTTACTCACAAGAAAAATTAAGTCTAATCTATCAAGTAACATGTGGGAAAAACATCTCTCTTTCTGAAAATCTTTACATTATCATGGTCATCTTATTACCTACGTGTAAGCAATAACACCTCTTTGGCTTGCGTTACTTTACAATAATACGGCTGAGATTATCGAGCTAAGGGAACTGATAGTTTCTCACAGAGAATTAGCAGTTTCATACCTGTAAGGTTTGCTTCAAGGTTTGAGCCTAAAAGATTAGACTGTCTTATATTAGTGTGCATACTAAGAGAAACTATTAAATAAATGCAGCACTGGTTAGCCTTAATTAGCTTTTATAATTAACTCAACATTGACTTTGGTCTCTTTGAGATGCATAAGCATGATGCCCTAAATTATAGTGATGCAGTGTGTACATTTAATACAATCCTCTGAAAAGGGCATGTTAAGATGGCTTCATGCATTTAGCTACTAATTTAATATCTGGTTGTCAAAAAATTAGATTGACAGATTAAATACCAATTAAGCAAGACTAATGGAATAATAAATACTGCACTGGTTGCTGCGCCGGTTGAAATTTCAAGAAAAATGGTATTTCTAACGAATGAGTCTGCGAATAAGGCAGAAATAGATATTTTGTCGGCACGAGATACGACAAGGCCTGGGCCTTAGGCCCGAGCATCATGGGTAATGATGCAGTGGTATATAAGGGAAAGTATAGCACGTGATGTCCATCTAGGCCTCAGAACCAACCGTTCACCTCTGGCTGATGACAAATTTATTTTAGTTTGAAAAAATATTTTCTTTAGCTGTGAAGCCTCGTAGGATGGGCTGCCAACTGCTCTGAGTTTGGGCCATGGTTCCTACCCAGATTTCCTGTCATGTTTTTCCCCAAAGGGGTTTTTTCTGGCAGGTTTTTTCTGGCCTCTGTATAACCGTAGTTATGTCCTTGTAAGCGGTTGCCCATCTCTGTTAATCCAGACTTGGTGAAGTTTGCATGTTAGTAAAGTATACCTTTTTAATGTGTAAGGAATTGACTGTATATCAGGATTGTATGTGGTATATCAGTTGCGAAGATATGTATGTATGCATTCCCCGGGCTATATATGCCTCGGGTTGGTTCTCGGCAGGCTTCCCTAAATAAACTTATTTGGTGTGCACTACTGTGTTATTTGTTGTGTAGTGGAGACAAAATATAAATAATATTATCAAATTTCGCTTTCTATTTGGACGCATTGACTGCTATAAATTATAGCATTAATTAAAAAAATTACTTGACAGAATACAAACCATGAAAAAAAACTTTTTAGTCGCAATTCAATTTTGACTGGGTCTTGGTAAAATTTTAAGTTAATCAGGTTAGTGCAACTTAATAAAGCTCATCGTGATTGCAAAGATAAGAGAGAGAGAAAACCATACTTTCAGTCCTCTGAATGAGCGGTGAATTATCCTCCTCGTCTGTTGACAACATCTAGACGAATAAAAGCTGTTCCACAAAGTATTTTACTAATACTTAGTGGACCGGCGTACGTGAGAAGATAAGGAAACGAGAAACTGACATGAAATAAAGGAAGTAACAGTAAAATGTGACAGGCGTTACACGTTGAAACGTCAGAAGTGGTTCCCAGTTTCCTTGCGAGGGATCCTACAAGCTGTTCTCAGAGATAGTTCCTGCAAAATTCCTGCCCTCTCAGTGGCTGGTAGCACGTCAAATAATCCTAAACAGGGAAGCGAACTGAATCACACGTGGAAAATTTCCACAATCGTCTTCGTTGAAAGACATCTCATTCAGTCTCAGTATTCTTTGCCAGTGAAGACTATAAATTAGACCATTGAGTCAAAAGGCGGAAATGTGTCTGAAGGCTTCGCCCCATTGCAAGTTTGCCACCTACCACCTTCACGAGTTCGCCCCCCGCAGTAAAACAGGTTCGCCTCCACTTTTGCCTGTTCGCATCCAAAATCTTTCAGCGTACGCGAAAAACCAAATGCGCTTGCATGACGTGACGCAAAGACTGTGCACACCGAATTTCAAGAATCGCTCTTGATAGCAGTTTGAGATTTCAGAAACTAAACTAACAACATTTACAATATAGAGTACTGTCCTTACTTTACCGGGAAATGATATCCTTAAAAGTCAAAGCTTGAAGCGTGCACATTCTCCTTCATGGCATTGAGGGCAGTTTTTCTCGCGCGCTCGTGCTTGAAATTTTAACTTCAAGCACGAGCGCGCGAGAAAAAAAGTCCTTTTGATGATACACATGCATTCGATTGAAACGTCAACGTCTTGTTCGTTTCAGTTGAGATTTTGCCTGGGTTTGCAGATAGAGAGGTAGAGTTTTAACAGAATTGAAATGCGAATCGTTTTCATTTGGAGCGAGCTTTTATGCCTTCTTCTGTTTGCTTCTTTCCCTGGAGGGTCGGGTGAGTAAAGTTTTCCCTTTTCTCTTACTGTTAAGTTCTGAAATGAAAGAAAAACTGAACCAGCCTTTGAATTAGATAAGTCAAGTCAGTAGTCAATAAGAGAACTAACAACCTCTATTTATTATCACATCAGTTTTGAAATCTTTTTTAACAATCATGTTAATCACTAATTTTCGCTGAAAAAATACTGTGACTGGTAGTGTTAGAGGTTTTTGCCCCCTTCCCAAGTTTGACCTCCACCCACTCTATTTCTTTCTCCTAAGGAATTCAAGAACATCCAGGAGGATTTGGAGGACTCATGATGGAGAGCCTGATCCAACTCTTCTGGATATCTTTGGTGGGTTTATTAATTTGGCTATTATGAAAAAAAAGTTTTTAGATAGGTCAAAACACAATTCAAAAACGATTTTCTTGGTTTTGATTGTTCCAATGTAAAACTCTTGTTTACAATGGAGCTGCTATGCGACCTGACGTGAATTCATGCGTCAACAGCATCAGAATTTTCGCCACATCCAATAACTACATGTGAACGACAGGAAACTTGCTAAAGGAACGGAATTTCCCTCAAGCCTCATTACTTAGTCATCTACCAAAGCAAATAAAGTTCTTCCTCAACGAGTTTAAATTTCCCGGCTCGCTGCGAAAAACTTGTTTGTCAGTTATTGGATGGGGTAACTCAGTTATAACAACCTATAAAAAAAAAATCAAGAGAAAACTGAATTTGTCGACGAATATGGAAGCCTGGTGGTACAATTCCTTGATATTAAAAAAAAAAAAACGTTACCGAAATCCATGTCGACTTTTTCTTTTTATTCTATGCAGAAAACTACGTATTTGTGGCTCACAGATCAAACAAGTGATGTATATGATCTAATTGACTGGGCTTTTGACTGCATCTTGGACGAGGAAATCAGTTGAATACAAGGTTGGTACAATACAGGAAGACTCTTGGGGCTTAAGGAAGCACAGGCATCGTCGGCAAGAAAGTTCGAATGTCACAAAACCTCCTCTGTTATAAATATTTGTTAAACTTGGGGCGATGACACCAAGGCTAGAATGTAATGACGACAATAATGTTCAACATAATGATGGTGATGACGTCATAATGGAAGTCGTGTTGATGTTGACGGTGATACAAATACTTAACCTGTCATTTGATCCATCAACAGGTTTGAAACGGGAGGAACTGCGTCGACAGCGCTCGAACACAATTAGTAACATTTTGGTGATAATTTTGATGTCAGCTGTAAGTCTGAAGATGTTCCGAAGCTCTATCAAGAAAAGCTTCTATGAGTAAGTGCATCGGCAGATAACAGAAGTTGTAGAAGGCGTTGCCCCAATTTACACACCATTTGTCCTTTATCCAGTTCTCACCGTTTTAACTTGTCCCCTGTAATAGAAGATGCCCACTAGATTCGCATAAAGGAACCGAATTCGCTCCCAATACGAAAACATATGTTCTAACTTTTAATTTCAGTAGCGATCTGAGCTGGCAAGTCGGTGCGGACTCAGATGTTGCACGGTGAGAAACTTCAAGAGCTAGTAGCAAAAGAGGAAATATTACAGCCGCTTTGCAAATGACGTTTAGGTTTGACAAAAACAATTCAAAATTAAACAAGGCCGAGCAGTTTTTATTGTGCAATACCTCTTTCAACAGTCTTCTGTCATCTTCAGTTGCAACAAAAACTTAAGTAAGGGAAAATCAACCAGAGGATGCGAGTAAGACGAAATTATGGAACATTATTCCGTAATCTGATTGGAAATTTTAGTTTCAAATCAGACGAAAATTTGCAACTGGTGAAGAAGTAAAGATGTCGAAATTTCTCTCACGTATTAAAATTGTTTTTTTGTAATTCCTTTTCTTTGGTTTCTAGTCTGAACACGAATCAGAATTTAAAAGTTGGAGATGGAATAAGATCTTTTACAAATTTCTGCTTGCTTTTCAATTTAATCGCAACTATTTGAACATTAGATCGGCTAAAAAAATTGAACACTTGGAGACTGATTATCGCTTAACTTCTGTTATTTTGAGGATAAAATGGAAGGCTAAAAATAGTTCAAAGTGTGAGTAATTTTATTGATCAAGCATTTTCTCTTTTCGTCAGTGAGCTAAAACTGCGTAAAGGAAAATTACAAAAGGCAGATTTCTTGAGAGTTGGACGAAAAAATTTCAAGGGGAATTTAAACACAAGCAGCCACAACAATGGTGCGAGAAGAAGCGGTGTGAAAACAAAACATCGTTAACCTTTATTTACAGTGCAGGTCATTTTGATCTTTTTTTTTTTTTACATATTTCCATACTTAAGAGGGACATGTACTTGTAATGTATCAGTGTGGTATGTCAAGTACAATGAAATAAAACAATTTTGCCTTTGAAGTTTAGATCCGCTCCGTAAACTAACCATTAGATTACGAGCTAGAAATTTCTATCGCATAAATCTAGTAGTGTTCTATCTCAAATGCTGCAATCTGATTCACAACGCCAAGCACTATCTATTTCATAATAGACAGTGAGTAAGTAAGAATTCTAACAGTGTGCGGTTAAAAAAAAACAAAAATATGAACCTGTCTTGTTAAGTTTTCAAAACCTAGTAGATTTATACTATAAAGTGGATTATTTTCAATATAAATTTTAAATCTCTATTATTTTAAATGTAAATTGATTACTCATTTAAAACTTATCAGTGAGAATGGCTTATATTTCCAGTTTAATTTGTTTTTGCAACCACATTGTCAGGCCACTCACTTAATCCTCTATCTAACACTGAATGGTTGCAAAAACAGCTTAGCCAATCAGATTGCAGCATTTATGATAGGACACCAGTATATCTATATCAAAGTACGTTGATTGCTCAGTATATCAGTTAATCAATTATTGATTTAAGGTTTAATATCATGACTGCCCAAAGCTCAATTCTTTAATCAGGATCTAACTGAGAAAACTCTCAAGAAATACTTTTTTCTAATACCACTTTGAAAGCTTTCACCTATTTTCCAATAAGTTCAGAATGTCAGCCTACACGACCAAACTATGGATGACATTCCATGTCTAACACAACAGAAAATGAAAAATGAAAAACTTGTAAAACCATGAATATTTAACATCAATACCACTTTGAAAACTTTCACCTATTTTCCAATAAGTTCAGAATGTCAGCCTACATGACCAAACTATGGATGACATTCCATGTCTAACACAACAGAAAATGACAAAAGAAAAACTTGTAAAACCATGAATATTCAACATCAAAACATTTGCATAGTAGCCCCAACACATGTAATTTTGAATTAAACTATCAAGTTATGACAAAACGAACATGCCACCCTTAGCTAACTAGAGTAAAAGTTTATAATAAAGTTTGGACTATAATGCCAGATTTCAGTCAAAGTTCAGTTCACAGCCTCATTTTCATCACTAGGAAGATTGCACCAATTCACAGGTCTCTTCCCAGATTTCTTCAAATATGCATTGGCTTGAGAGAAGTGTTTACAACCCAAGAATCCACGGTGGGCTGACAAAGGTGAAGGGTGAACAGCTTTCAACACATGATGCTTCTTCTGCAAGATAATCAGTGAAAAGGAAAACAACTAAGAAGCCATGAGATTGAAAACAGTCCTTTTTAAATACTTTTTCATTTGCATTCTTCTTAGGAAGCTTGATGATGATACTCTATTTGAATTGGGTTTCAAATAGACTGTTCATCAGGTGTCTGAACATGAATCAAATCCACATTAACCCTATGACCCCTATGATTGGCTACCATCTAATTTCTCGTTACGATACCAACCCTAAATCACACAGTCATAAAGGTCATAAGAATAATGGAAAAGATCTCCAACTAAAGGAGCTCCTGATTGTTAAACAAATTCTCCTTGTAAGTACAACAAGAAATGGAGAGAGAACAGAGTGGAGATTTTATAACTACTTATTTTAGGGTGTAAAGGGTTACTTTAGAAGTACTTATTCCATTGCCAGGAAGATAATTAATAGTGACAATGGACTTGAAATAGATTTTGAATTGACTGCCCGTATATACATGTACAATGTATTTAAAATATCTCCAGTCTGTAAACCTTTCAGGTATTCTTCTAAAATTCAAATAAACTAGTGCTTCTACTTACTGGACAAGCTGGAAAATGATGAAAATTTAAGCCCTATATAAATAGGAGTGACCACAAAAATTTCTCCCAACCATATCATACCATAAGTGATATGAACAGAAGAAAATATTTTTATTTGCGAGAACCTATGAAATTGTACCTTGTCAATGAAGCTGCCTTTCTTCTGAGCATATGAGCCCCAAAGTAGGAAAACAACACCATGAAGATTTGTATTAATCCACCTTATTACAGCATCAGTAAATTTCTCCCATCCCTGTAAAGATCAAAGTATGATTAGATCCGGGCCAATGACTATGTTTGTTATGTTAACCAATAAAGGCTTGTGTGGTGACTGAAGTGATTGAAATAATAGTAAGGAGGTAACAGCCTCCAACAGTAAAAGAAAAGAGTAAGAAACAGTGTGAATGACATGCAAATGAGAGTTTTCAATCTTTCAGGAAGTATCCCACCTATCTACACTCAAACTTGTGCAGGGTCAAGGAAACCTTACAGGGTGAGGGTGAAGAGAAATTCAGCCCATCCTACCAGAGCTTATCCCAGTTTCAGCTGCAAGAAGGAATTAGGGGTATTGCTCCCCCCCCCCCCAAGGATAGAATTTCAGTCTTTTACAGGGTAATGCCTTGGCTTTTTGTCAAGTTTCTCTGACAGTTTGCTAAATCCACTTATCAACACTTTGGGGTGGAGAGAGACACTTTGTAAAGGGCAAGAAGGGGGAGGGGGGGTTAAATAAAGAAAAGTTTTAAAGGGAAGCTTGAAGTTAGGATGGGATTTTTTTGTTTAGATTGATGGGTTGGGCTACCACTATTGGACTATATTAATTAATATAGATTCCTGATTAATGTGGTCCTATAACTCAATAAAGATATATGTGTCATATCAAATAATAAATTTAAGGAAGGTATTTCATATAATGACCTTATCTTTATGAGAGTTTGCCTGTGAAGCAACAACTGTCAAACAAGCATTTAGGAGCAGTACACCTATTGATAAAGAATAGAAAGACACATGATAAATACTATCAATAAGATTGTTTATCTCAACAAGACTCTTACATGCACATGGTGTAATGGCTCATAACCCATGATGGCTAAGCCAATGAAAACTATTGCATGATCCAGTCTGTACTAATACTAAGGTATTAGTAGAGGTCTTTCTGTGTTCTAGCAAAAATACTGGTATCTGATTGGCTCTGCCCCTTGCTTTCTATTTTGTGATAGATGATGAGTGACCTGGCAATGTGCAATTGTAAAAAATAACACAAGCCTGTCTTGTTAAGCCTTGTACAAAAGGTAGATTTTGTACAAAAACAATTCAATTATTTGCTCTTGATAACTATGCAAAATGGTAGATTCATCAAAATCTCATTGAAGAAATCTTGAGATAAGAATCTAATTGTTGAATATAAACATCATTGTCCAATCCTGTCTCACCAACATTAATTCTCTGTGGCTCAGTTGATGAGCATCTTATCAAGAGATCAGAACTGGCTGAGTTTAAAATGGCATCATGGGGAGACACAGGTCTTTCTCTATGCCATGTTTGTATGTTCATAAAATTAATACACTTTTTATGAGCCAAACTCAACTCACCTTGTTTTGCCCAACCCAATAGATATCCATGTTTAGGTGGTTCAAAGCCCTCAATATCATTTTGCAACTCTTTGTATATATTTACCAGACTGTTGAATATAAAGGAAAAGGATATTACCTGTGATCTACATGGTCAAGTCTAAAATAAGTAATTTCTGCTTAAATATCAATTTTTCCCACCCACCTTGGTGGTATACCAACTCCAGGAGGAACACTGAAGCAAAGTCCTGAAAAAGGAGTCATTTTCAAGACCATTAAGGTAATTGTGGACAGACATCAATGACTAATAGTAAATCTTAATGGGCAGAAAATCATTCAACAGGTTATTTGAAACTTACCATGTGCCTGCCTTGGTCCATGATAAGGGTCCTGACCAATAATCACAACCTTAACCTGATGTACAAGAATATCACTGACTTAAGGATTTCAAAACAAGCTGGTGACCGCTGTAGTTCTGCTGGCTATTTGATAATGTGTCGCTGGTTACTACTGTCAAAATAGTTACCTTTTGATCCTTTTTCACTGTCACCTACTTTTGCCAAATTTGATGCCTACATCAAAATATTTTGAAACCCCTGCTGAATTGTTTCAGGGACACTGCCAAGGGGGTTTGGGTATGAATGTGATCCTTTCTTTTTAATAAAATAGTAGCATAACTTGGCTTGTCCCCCAAATACAAATAAGTGGCTAAAGTTGATTCCTCGTCCATGTAGAATACCTGCTCACACCCTCACTCACAGCAAATTGAAACAATAAAAAGAAAAATCCCTTTAAAACTCTCTTTACATTTGTACAATTGGTTTAGCTTTTATATCCCTTTAGAATCATTTCCTTGATTCTTAGCAGTAACTTGTAACCGTAACTGCCTAAATATGGGGACAGGATGCTAAGATACGTTTTTTCCACAGTGTTTGCCAAATTGTCTCAGTAGTTCAATTGCATCTGTTCCTATTTCTTGATTAATGAGGAAATGCAGCATACACAGAATAAAATGTTCTCCACATCTTGATGACCCTGGCCACAGTTTCATGTGGTAATCATTATGATTGTCCTTAATTTAGACATAATCAAAAATGATCATTTGTGGTAAATCAAATCTCAAAAATTACCTCATGGATGTCACACTGAAGAGTCCAACTAAACACATCCTTTTCTATTTTCAGTAAACAAAAACAAAGTTAGCTTGAGGTATCAGTAAAACTGCATCACCTGCTTCCTAATAATCTTGGCCCAGCATAAAGGCATCGACAAAGGTACTTCTTGAAGGAGATGGATTTCATCAGTAAGTATCCTAACAAGAAATGCCAGCTCTAAAAGTAAAGTCTCTTAAAGCATAAAAATGTCACCCTTGAAGATGTCAGCCTAAAACCATTTGGTCATAATTGTCATTTTTTTTCTAATCAAATCCAGACTAACTGGTAAAATATCCAAATCACATCTTAGGTATTAAAAAAAGATTTCAACCACAACCCGGCACCCCTCTCAGAATAACTGATTATTCTTTTAAAATGTCTGTGATTACATAAGGATAGTACATGTTTTTTTAAAATTCTTCTGTAAGCTTGGCTATCCTACAAGTACAAAACGAAAAATGCTCTTAAAAATAATTGAACACTTATTAATCAAAACATCAAATAAACAAAAACACTCAGGAGGAATGGGGATGTAATTTACGTACCTGGAGGATAGACCGTCTTGCGTGATCTCTCTTCTTTAACAAAATTCATAAGCTATTGACATAATAATTCAACATTAATTATTATTACCCTTTCAAGTCATAAATTTGTGGAAATAGATTAATCGATTCAATGCACACGTACTTTCTGGAAATATTCCTTGGTAAATTCCGCTGCCAAAGCTTTCTTCCACGAAGGTCCGAAGAACTGTGGACTCTTATTCGCGAGCAGTTTCTTCTGTGCCTCCTTTCGATTAGCTTCGATGCGAGCTCTTTGCTCTGGTGAGAGATTTACAGCCAGCCGCTTCGGGTTAAGAGGCGGCGAATTCGCATTTTCGTCTGTGCCTGCATCCTCATCTTCTGCCCTTCTTTTGATTCCAGTGCTAGAAGGACTGAAAAAGCTGGAAATCGTCTTCTGAGTTTGCATTCTTCTTTTACTCGTGTCCCAAAACTACAATGTCGAATCTTTAATCGCGAATTAATCTGACTGATGGCAATACAGCAGAGCCTTATTATTTTCCCGCCAAAATCATCTAATTTAGCAGCCAATCAAAGTACAGTTGGTGAGAGACCTGGAACCAAGAGTGTAAAGGCAATCCGCCATATTGGAATCACTAGTACAGGCTTGTGAAATGTTCCGAATCAAAAGTACAAGAGGGTCATTATTGCAATCGTTTGTAAACTTATCTCGACTAACATCCTCGAAGGTTTGTACTGTGGTGTTGCTTTTGTGATTGTAAGGTTAACGAAGAACACACAAGGTGATTCTGCACCTGTATGATATGGAGAAATACTAGATCAACTTACTCGTGCTTTCTCCAACACGCTTTGTACATGTACCGTATATTGGCTTTTTGTAGGGTCGTTTGTCTTCAGCAAACAAATACTTTCATGCACAACTAAGAAGATGTGAATCAACTACAGCAGGGTCCCCAAGGTAAGTGTGGTAGAACAGTCCACAGTATCGAATAAAGCTTTTTAAGTAATTTCAACGTGAAGTTTTGAACTATTGGTGGGGAATTATAATGGCGATAAATTCCACCACATTTTATATTTGCTTGGACAGTAATTACTGTATTTACCCTATTCATAACATGTTAGGCAAAGACTGTAAATGTTCCCTTACTATGATGAGCTGATACTCTGTCAGAGAGGTAGAGTGTGGGGGTTGTTAATCATTGTGCCAACTGCTTAGTAGTTAAAATTGAAATTTTCCTAATTTTTTAGAGAGAGCTTTTAAAAAATTGGCAGAATTGTGGAATAGTGTAGCATTTTGAAGTGCAATTTCTCTATAAGCTAGATTCCGAATTCCATTTCCTGGGCAGCCCCTATAATTACCAACCCTAAACATATAAAAGTCTTTCCCAGGTGTGCAGCCAGACATGGTACTAGCTGCAGGATGACCTACTAAGGAATTCCATTTCAGCACTTGAAAAAAAAAAAAATAATAACCCTCCTCTGGAACAAGTAGATTTTCAACTCAAGAAGCAACTTTCTCTGCCCACTTGCCTACCTTCAATCGAGTATTTAGTGTTTCACAAAAATTTGTCAAATTTCATTCTTCACTAGCAAGCACTTATAGATGTGTTGCCTTTTCATTCTCCACCAAACCCTCTATTTTCATTTGTGAATATGATAGGAGCTGAGGGAGCTTTGAACTTTTGTGTTAAGTTTGCTCAAACTAAATGTAGTAATAGACACCACATGTAGTTGGGAAATGACTTCTAAATACACTTAATTATGTTAGTTTACCTCTACCTTTTTTTAATTTTTCATTCTACAATTTGCTACACTTTTTATGTAGGTCAACCAAAGGCCTACCAGCTTGGAAAATAGCAGCAGGAGTAGCCTTAGCCAGTAGTGGAGGTGTGGTTGGAGCAGCTCTAGCCTTTCATTACAGCGCAGATGTCCGCACATGGTGGGCCACAAATTTTCCATATCTTGCACCTTATTTGGGTACCTTGGGTGAGTCCTTAACAGGGAGCAAAACGTCTCCAATTCTTGGTGGGAAAGTAAACAATACTTCAAGAGACCCAACAAAGCCTCATTCTTTCGATGAACCATTGAATCTTGGTGTTTCAACACATAAAGCTCCCCAAAAGGTAAGAAATATTATCTTAATTGTTCAAAGGATTCAAGCTCTCTTTTTCCACCACCTAATCCTCCATATAGATAAATGATTCCTTGAAAGGTTGGCTATATGAAATCATGAAAATTGGCAGCTTTATCCAGACAATTGTTCTATGTCTATTAAACTTTTTATTAGCATGTAGCAACAACATTGTTATGGTGCAATCCATATACAGTTTATACTTCAGCATTGTGTGCAGATCTCTAGACTTGAAGCACTATTCTAATTAAGTGCTGGTAACTCTATGTTTACTAGGATGCTGATCCTTCATCAAGAAAACCTGTGAAGCCTTTGGCTGGGAGTAAGGAACCAGTGGCATCTGTTTCATCAGTTGATCAAACAGGCATTTCTGCTGTCGATCTTGCAATTGCCAGAACAGTTGAAAGGGAAGTAAAAGAGAGTGCTAACTCAATAGAACCTAAGCCTGATGCCCCTCAGAATACAGTTAGTAAACCACCAAAGCCTGGAGGTAGAGGAAAAGCAGAGTCACCAACAGCTGCTGTGTCAGCTCTAGATCAAGTGGGTGTTTCTTCTGTGGACCTTGATATCTCGTCTGCTGTGGAAAAGGAGGCTGAGCCTGCTACGACAGCCAAGGTACCAGAAGGTATAGGGAAACCAGCTGAGAAAGGAGAAGATACTGGATCTCATGAAATCAAAGGTACAAAAATTGACTACAGGAATTACATGTATGATCTTCTTCAATGATGATTACAGGGGGTATCTTAATACACACACATTTTTAAACTGAAACACTGCAATTGTTGTTGTGCTTTGGTTCAAAAATGTCTGTATATCAAGAAAAGTCATTAATTTTGGTACCATGGAACTCTATGTATAACAAACCACTATTACATCATACACAGTATGTGAACAGGTTCTCATTATTTCCTGGGATCTTAAAAATTATATTAGGAACACAACCATCAGGATTGCATCAGAGTTTGATGAGATATGAAACATTATGCAAGTTTTAGATACATGTACATGTATGCTTCTTGAAATCCTCAGGTAGTCATGCCTTGGAAGGAAACATCTATAAATGTTGTTTACAGCCTTGCTTTTTCAGATAGTGCATACATACATGTAGGCAACAATCAGATGTGATTGCTTTTTGTAATGTTACATCTCTATGCAAACAGTTACAACAATTGTTTATTAATTGACAAAACTAATCTTAACTTTTCATCAGTGGCACAGTTGATGTCCATCCTAAATTTTCCAAACCTAATATATCCACAAACAAAAAGAGTACTTAACCATTGATTAATTAAGGTATCTGTGATCACCAGTCTAAAATATTTGGGTAGGGAGGACTCTCAATAGGGTGCGTAATTTAATGCTTGTCCAGTAGGGGAGTACTGTACTTAATTGAAGGAATGCCTTTTGATGGAAGGTGCAAAGTCAAGGATTTACATGATATGTTTTTAAACTTGTGTAGGGTTAGGGTTATCATTTTGAGGTTTTGTGGAGTTGTATCATTTGTAGTGGTAATGAAATGAGTAGAGTCCAATTCAGTCTGTAAAATCATACGAGTGATTAACAAAATCAGAGTCTGATTTGTTAATTATGAGTACGATTTCACACAATTGGATCAGGTGAGGTCCTGTTACCAATTGATCAAAGCTATGACAAATTTTCAGAAATATACTAGCCATCAGGTATACATTTTCATGGGGAAAAAAACATTTAACTCTGCAAAATGCAGAGCAGCAGCATGCACAAATGACACTTACTGTCCAATTACACAGTCCAATAACAAACATAGCACACACTGACCTATTAGTGCTTAAATTGGGCTGCTGATAACCTTTCATGTCCGAGAATTATAGTTTTGTTTAACACTAACTGTGGTGTCTTGCTCATAAGTGTCTTTTGCTCAATTTGATTTTGCTACTCTGTGATCAAAAGAGGGTGTTTGAGGTCTCTCTCTGGAAAACAGTTTACTTACAATGTATATTTGTGAAGGTACATATCGTATCCCATCACCATTACTCTATTTATGTAGATGTGGACACAAGTCTTACTGAGAAGGAAGTTGAAGCCCTCATAGATCAGACTGCCATGGAAGCTATGGTTCATGATGCAGTGGAAAAGTTAAAGGGTATTGGTCAAGAAGCTATAGAGGCTCAGCAAACAGCTGGCAAAGCCATACAGGAACATGTTGAACAGCTCAAGAGTGCACTTGCTCAATCCCTTGAGGGTAGAACTCTTAAGGATCTCAGTGAATTGGTACTAAATTCTCAAAAGGCAGCCATTGACAGTGTTAATGCTGCCAAAACTGCACAGGTGATTAGTTTTAAGATAATGGTTTATGTTACTTTCCACAACCTTTTTACTTTCAAGATCTCAAGTTCATTTCTCTGTACCATCTGCTGTATCTTTCCTATGATTTCAGCTATAAGAATTTGGTGTTCAGTCAAACAAGTTTCTTAGATGATGGTCTTCTCTCTTCTCATAACCCCTCCACATGGCAATGTATTGATATTTTGATGAGAAATTACTTAGCAGTCACTCCTGGAAGTAAAAGGGTTAAAAGACTCTTTGACACGATTCTTCATTTTTGGTGACTTTTGAATGTGAAAGTTACAAAATTGGCTGCTTGATGGAGATTATTAAATCAATCATTTGTGTCATTTTGGTGATGTATAAAGAGGTCAATAAAAACAGATTTGAACAAAGCAATCACTGAAATTTGCAGGGGTGAACAAATATTTTGGAAGGAGATAATAAGGAAAGCTTATGGTGAAGATTGACAGAGTGTAGATGACAATCTTGATAAAAACAGGCAAATTTTCTTAAGTGCACAAATTTCTATAATGCTCCTTTAAAGTCTCCAAATTTAATGTTTTTTTTCCTGCCTGCTTGCTTTGCACTCCTTTGCTCTGTGATGTAAAAAGTGACAGGGTGGTGGACAGATTATTCGTGATTTACACCAAGTAAAACCTTTTCCGAAAACAAGCCTTTCTTTCTTTGGTAGGTAAAAGTAAATGAAGAAGTAGAAAAGGTTCATTCTATTATCAAAGAAGCAGATGCTGCTGGGGTTAAAGGAGCAGGAACTACTGCAGCAGAAGAGGCAGCGAGGGTAAGTTACAGTGTGCAGAAAGCAGCGTTAGACGTGCAGAAGGCCAAGGCCGAGGCAGCAGTGCTGGAGGAACATCAGAAAGACTTGGCCAAAAGCAAAGATATGTTCAGGAAGGAGCTACTGGATATAATACCTGGTGCTCTGAAAGGAGAAGCTTTGGAAGGTGTTGGGGAGAAAGATGTTAGGTAAGGTGTTCATGATACTGGTCCACTCTGTACTTCGTACATTTGTTTCCTGTCTTTATTTATATGAGGGTCGTTCTGTTATTATTCAAGTTCTTTTAG